GTTCGCGCACCCGTCCAACCTGCTGCAGCACCGGCGCGTGCACCGCGACACCTGAGCCCCTGAGGTGAGGGGAGCCAGCACCTGTGAGCCAGGACAGGTGTGGAGCCCCGCAAAATTGTGGTTTTGACCCCAAAAAACGGCAGCTGTGACACCTGGACTGCAACAGCTGAGCCCCAGGTGGAAGGATTCAGCACCTGTGAGCCAGGACGGGTGTGGAGCTCCCCAAAATTGTGGTTTTGACCCCCAAAAACAGCATCTGTGACACCTGGACCGCAACACCTGAGCCCCAGGTGGAGGATTCGATACCTGTGAGCCACAAGTTCTTCAAGGACCTGGCGTACCTGGCGGTGCACGAGAAGGTGCACACGGGGGAGACGCCCTACAAGTGCGGGGTGTGCGCCAAGGGGTTCGCGCACCCGTCCAACCTGCTGCAGCACCGGCGCGTGCACCGCGACACCTGAGCCCCTCAGGTGAGGGGAGCCAGCACCTGTGAGCCAGGACGGGTGTGGAGCCCCCCAAAATTGTGGTTTTGACCCCAAAAAACGGCAGCAGTGACACCTGGACTGCAACACCTGAGCCCCAGGTGAGGGGAGGATTCGATATCTGTGAGCCAGGACGGGTGTGGAGCTCCCCAAAATTGTGGTTTTGACCCCCAAAAACAGCAGCTGTGACACCTGGACTGCAACACCTGAGCCCCAGGTGAAGGGAGCCAGCACCTGTGAGCCAGGCCAGGTGTGGAGCCCAAAAATCTGCAGCACCTGCAGCTGGAACACCTGGAGCACCTGGTGGATGAAGCTTCAGGTGGAGGATTCAGCACCTGTGAGCCAGGACAGGTGTGGAGCCCCCCAAAATCACCTGTGGACCCCAAAAAGCTGCAGCAGCAACACCTGAACTGCAACACCTGAGCTCCAGGTGAGAGAACCTGAGCCAGGTGTGAACCCCAAACTGTAACAGCCGGACTGTAACACCTGAACTCCAGGTGTGAACCCCAAACTGCAGCACCTTGGCTCCAGGTGAGGCCCCGACGTGGTCTCACCTGAGTTGTGACGTCACCGACAGTGGATGAAGAACTGGGAGACCCCCGGGGTTCACCTGCGGCCAGGTGTGACCCCAGACCTGCCAGGACTCACCTGAGCCCTCACCTGA